TCTCTACCTGCCCATTTTCGGACAGCTGGGGGTGACCCTCGGCCATCCCAGGATCAGAGGTAGGTCGGAGGGGGAAATGCCACCTTGGCACATGAGCTCTGCTAGGAGTGCCAGGCTGGGGCCCACAGCTCAGCCCCACCCCAGGGCCTGGGCAGAGGTGGCACAATGCCTGTGGGGTTGCACTCAGCAAGGGTTGAGCAACACTCTGCCCTGGCCTCCTCCGGATCAGGGAGGCAGGAAAAGCGGAGAGAAGCGCGGGGAAGGTGCTGTCACACAGTGGCCGGAATCGAGACCCTGGGACATGACACGCAGCGGGGTACACTCAGGTGTGGGGGGTCAGATGCGAGGCTGCGTGTGCATGTGCGCTGCCGGAGGCTCAAGCTGTTAGTCAGCCGCTGGCCCTTGGGCAAGAGTTTCCATCTTACAGTTCACAGGTCCCCACCCACCCCTTGTGCTACTTTCGGGAATCTAGACACTCTGGCACTCAACCTACTCTGGGTTTCAGTCTGTCTGGGGGCCACTCCCAGCCATCCTCAGGGGGCCGTGTGCTGGCCAGGGAAGCCAGATCCCCTGCATGCAGAGCCCGTGCTCTGGGCCCCTCAAGCCATCTCTCCGGCCCGGGGACTCTCTCAATTTTAGAGCCTAGACTAGAAGTGTCAACACACACCCCAATCCCAGGCCCTTCTCATAGCCTCAGTGTAGAGCTTTGGGATGTAGGTTCCTTCTGTGTGGAGCCAGTGAATCCAGGAGCTGAAATACTTCAACAAGACAGGCGCTAGGATGAGATATGGAAGGTCAAAAGTTTCAGGCGTCTAGATGCAGAATCTTCAAAAAAAAATATGACAAAGCAAGGATCTGAGTCTGGAGTGCAGAGTCTGCGGCTGGCCAGGGAGGGCAAACGGTGCTGGGGGAGGTGCTCCCAGCACCCGGGTTCCTCTGGAGTTTCCACATCCTGGCCAGGGCTGTCCAAGGGAGCCAGGCAGGTGGGTAGGGGGAGAGTTCTGCCAATTTAAAATATAACTATGGTATGCACAGTAAAACAATTTTAAAATAAAAGAAAAAAGGAGCTTCTGCAGTAGACACCCCACATCTCAGTAAGATGGCACACAGGGTGTGGGCCCAGAGAAAGAGGAGGCCACTGTGTGTGTGGGGAGGGGTATGGGTGGAGGGGCAGAGGCAAGAGCAGTGCTCTCCAGAGAACACACGAGAACCCTGACAAGAGAGAGGACGATGGCCAAAGCCATCACAGCAGAACATCGAGATCCAGAGCCGGGCTGTGAGGGTGGTGAGGGACAGAGAAATGAGCCGGCAACCGGAATTCAGTGAAGCCTAACCTCCTCACCATCAGCCCTGCCCCACCCGCACCCAAGAGGGCTGCCGGTGTGGCAGGCAGAGGCCAGCGCTCATGGGGCAGTTCCGCTGCCCACACCACCTCCTTCAAGCACCCAGCGGCTGCAGCTGTGTGTGGTGCTTGCTGCTGGACCAGGCCTGCCCACGCGGCTCCGTTTCCTGTCGTAGCTCCCCTTCTCCGCCTGACCCCGGGAACCACCTGCCTGCACCCCACGGACTGCCACTTGCTTGGTCGCATTTGTTTCTTGTAACCAAAGGATTCTAACCCTAACTCTCGCCAGGGAGACTGTGCCAGGCAAGGAATAGTCCAGGGACAGTCTCCAGAAGGCTGTCAGAGTCAGGGATACCACGTGGCAACGGGAAGGCACACCCTGAGTCAGGAGACTCTCGACTGAAGTGGTGGAGCGGCTGGACTTTCCGAGAACTGACCCAGGTCACTGTTCCTGTGCAGCTCTCAGAAACCAGGTTGAAGATCAGGCCCCAAAGACAAGCACCATCCCTCACCCCCCCCACCCCCACTTCCAGCCCTTCTCAGACACAGAATTGCCGGGAACCAAAGCCCAAATATAAGGGAGATGGTGACAGGTCCCCAAAGGGTGGGGCTTCTCAGCAAGAGGGATTAGGACAAGCAACTGGATGAAAAGATGGAGAAGGCACTAGACTGTGAAGGGGAACCGTGGGCTGCCCAACGCCTCAGTTCTTGGCCAGTGCGCCCTTCAATCCACCAAATGGGTCCCCAGAAAATAAAACCGATGAGTATTGCTGAGACACTGATGAAATAAAACATCCCAGATGATAAAACTAGAGAATAATTAAAGGTTAGAGAGTTTTGAAGTGGTTTGAACCCGCACAACTCACTAAGGAGACACTTGCCCACAGAATAGAGCTGTGAACAAAAACGGCGCAGTCTTCCGGGAAGGGCTACTTTAGGGTCAAATGCGAATACCTGAGAGCTCACGTCCACAGCATGAGTCAGTGTCAGCCCCTCATGTCACTGCATGGGGGCCAGGACACGGCACCCACACTCTGGCACACGGGAGCACCCAAAGACTGGCCTCCATCAACACAGTGCTCCACAGACAGGGCTCACTGCAGAGCCAGAGAGGCCAAGGCAATAGGGAGCTCTACCGTCGTGGGAAGGTGCCCCTTTGACGGCCATGCTGTGAGGGAGGAGTGTGTCCTGCAGTGATCCCACTGCTGCGCACCACACAGAGGTCTGCAGCTTGTTTGTGGTGTCTAAGGGGAGCTCAGGAGCTGGTCCTTACTTTGTGAGCAAATGTAAAAAATTTCATGTTTGCTGACTGGACCATTCATACATTTTGCTTCTCTACAGAGGAAATAAATACTTTTAAGTATAAGAAGAACATCTATCTCCCATCCCCAAATACTTTTATTTTGTGGATTGGGGGGCTGAAGGGTGGGGGGAAGGGTGTTTGAGCTACAGCCAGTGTTGCTCAGAAATCACTGTTAGCAGAGCTTGGGGACCACCTGGGGTGGTCATCCCAGATGGTCCCCAAGATTGAGCCAGGGGTCAGCCCTGTGCAAGGAAAGCACCTTACCTGCTGTACTATTGCTCCAGCCCTCAAAAACTTTTTTTGGTTTGTTTTGGCTTTTGGTGAGGCTCAGGACTAATTCCTGGCTCTGCACTTAGGAATTACTCTGCCTGGTGGTGCTCAAGGGACCATATAGGATGCCAGAGATTGAATCTGGGTTGGCTGCCCTACCCCCTGTATTACTGCTCTAGCGCCTCCCCCACACCCAAATACTTCTGATTCCCCCAAAAAACAATTCTAATAGTGTGAATCCAGTCCTGAGGCCCAATGGTGAGAATCATCCAAGACAAGGAAGCAGAGATGGGCAGACATGAGGCAGGTTGGGACAGGGTGCAAGGGGCAGAGACTGACTCTCACCCGACCTGACTACTCAGATAACACTAACAGTGACACCGGAAGGGCATGTACGGCCAGTCCACTGTGGATCTCCAGGCAGGGCTGTGCCCTACGTGCTCTCACCTGTTTTCACTAGAAAGACTGTGGGGGCGGCAGAGCAGGTAGTGTGGGCACCCATACTGCGAGGCAGAAGGCTGGGCTAAGGAGCCTGCAGAGCTTCTCAGAACGTGCCACAAAGAGTGAAGTGACTAGACCTCACTTTTACCTCATGTGCATGACAAGCGAGGAAGGAACATGAATGGGCTTGGGAAAGGGCGGCTTCAGTAGCAGTCAGAGCTAAGCCAAAGAATTAAAGATCGCCATTCTGGGAAATGTGCACTGGTGAAGGGACAGGTGTTCGAACAAGACTTAAACCCAATCATAAACAACTTTGTAACTGTGTATCTCAATGGTGATTCGATTAAAAAAAAATCACCATTCAAGTGGAAGAAGAAAGATTATTACTGCCTCAGAGGAAAATTTAAGAAATAAATCTGGAGGGGCTGGAGTAAGGTTAAGAGTGTTTGCTTTACATGAGACCAATCCGGGTTACATGCCTGGCACCCCATAAGGTCCCTGAGCCTGCTGGGAGTGATCTCTAAGTGCAGAGCCAGGAGGAGGCCCTGAGCACTGATTGATGTGGCTCAAAACCAAAATCCAAAATTTTCTGGAGATCTCAAAACAAGGCTGTGGCAACTGTCCTGAAGCTCCCCTGGCAAGAACCCTGCGTGTCCTCAGCATGCCAAGAGAATTATCACCATGAATGTCGGCGGACACATGGCTCCAACTCATGACCACGTTAATCCGCAGGGCCCAAGTTGCACACAAGGAGCTGAATCTCTGGTCACCACTGCCTCCAAGGTTGGGGACGACAGAGGAGGAACTTGGCTCTCGTGGGCGTTTACTCAGAAGAGGTCAAATCCCTGAAGACATGGGCTAGCTGCATGGGAGGATGCAGAAGTGGACTTGATCCTTGGAGGGAGTGGAGTGAGGGAAGACCAGTGCGGAGTGGAGAGACATGAGGAGCCTTCTCCCAGTTCTCTGGGCTGTCCACATCGAAACAAAGCACAAAACTCAATGGCTGTAACATGACAGTAGCTGTGGCTTTTAGCAGACGGTGCTCATATACCATCGTGCCCCCCGTCTGTCCCCCATTCACCCCATTCAGGAGCTCCCCGCATGGGTAAAGAACCCACTAGACAAGAACAGGCCAACAAGACCTAAGCTGCCAGCTCAGAAGGTCAATGACTCGGAGCAAGAGGATGGAAGAACTAGATTGAGGATGACATGAATGGAAAGAAGAGCCTGGATGGTTCTGCCCCAAAGCTGGCAGGCTAGAAGAGGACAGTTTTTGCAGAGGCCTTTGTTGTCTGTCTCGAAAGGGAAAGCACGGTGGAGATTCTGGGAGGGCAGGAGTCACCTGCAACAGGCAGGGCATAGGCTCCCACGGAAGGAAGCAAGCAAGATTAGACAGAGGCTACCTGAGCCTGAGGGGTCACCCAGCGGCGCCTCTGGGACTGACCCTGGTGTTTCACTCCAGGTACTGAGTCCTCTCCATGAGCCCACAGTGGTCCCAAACACTGGGCCCACCCCAGCTCAGTTCCTGGTTGTCCAAAAGTCATTCAGGCCATGGATGACACCTAGTCCTAGGGACACAGCCCTAGGCTGTGAGGAGCGTGCAGGAGAGGCAGTGTTCCGAGAGCCAAAGGAAAAAAAAAAAACAGTCGCTGGTGGCACCATGTAGGAAAGGGGTCAATATCAGCAAAATAGGACACCCCAACCCCAACTCACTCCTTCAAGGGCAAAGAGAATCATTTCTGCAACAAGCCGCTCTAGTTCAAAGGGAGATGTCCAAATAAACTGTAATTCATTTGCTGGGGAGAAGAGCCATTCTGAATATCCTCTGATCTCTTTGTGCAGTATTTGTCTAACAAAGGAAAGAGCAAAGGAACGGCACTTCTTCAAAAAGCTGCATGGCAGATAGGCCAGAAAGCCATGCTGGACACCCATGTTCCTCCCTGGCCCTGGAGCAAACAAGTCCTGCTTACATCAGCTCCCACCCGGGCCCAAGGCAGCTGCTCCCGCAGACTGTGTTCTGCGGAGGGATGGAATGCACCGGAGGCCTCTATCGTAGATCAGCCATGTCATCAGAATGAAGAGCTCTTCTCTGAGCAGATTCAATATCCTGGAGAGACGGTGCTTTGCAGTGACCAGCGTTAGCTGCTAGTATCGAACAGTGCTTCCGGGATAGAGCAACGGGATGCTCCCCCACCCCTCGAACACTCAAATCTGCATTCCCACACAAGAGAGCACGGCCGAGAAGGCACTCGGCATCAGTAAGGCTGGTCCTGGCAAGCCCTGGTCAGAGACAGGCGAGGCGGGCGGAGGGCAGAGGGGCAGGGGAGCAGAAGGGGATCCTAAGAGCACAAGACGAACTCTGTGCGCAAGAATCCAAGCAAAGGGGAGTGTTTTGGCCGTGAGAGGAGCACTAGGGTGGGTGTGATACCACAGTAGATGAAGTCTTGAGAAGATTCCTTCTGAGACCTCTTGTGCCGACTCCCTGCCCGGGATCAACACAGACAGCAGGTTAATCTTAGAATCACAGGACACGCACAACCACAGACAGACATACACGCACGCACGCACAATCATTTCTTTAACCCAGGAAAGTCTTAAGTATTCAATTAGGATTTAGAGCACAAAACCTCTCCCACTGCTTTCTGGACGGTTCCCCAGGTAAGCTACTATTTAATAAAAATCCACACTCTAAGTGGGGGCGGAAGGGCACCTTCCAATGTACTCCCAAAACAAGTAAGATCTGCAAACATACTAGCTGCTCCATTTCATTCCACCGCCTTGAAATCCTGGAACCACAGGACCCCACAGACAGGTCGCGACCCCATGTGCCGTCTCCAGAGGAGCCTCTGCCTGTGAGGTGCCACCGAGTGAGTGAGAGCTCAGCTCAGGGTCCTCTAAAGCTGCAGCAAGGCAAGGTGCTAGGTGGCCACGTGAGCAGGAGAAGAAATCGAAACAAACTCCCGCAGGATATTTTTGGCCATCTCGATGTTGTTGTGGGCGATGACCAACGCTTTCTGAATGTCCTGGTAGGAATAACCCTGACTCATGAGGTTCTCGATCTCACTGGAGAGGTGTGGTGAGGCGGCAGCGGCGGCGGCGGCGGCACCCCCTTGCTGACAGCTCCCCGCTTTCCGTTCAGAGTTGATTCTCCGTGGGAATGGTTTGGGAGGCCGCTCCGGAACTTGGGAACCCTCAGTGAAGTCTGAAAGAGATAGAAAAAGACTTGCCAATCTGGGAGAGAAATTCGGCTCCTGTCAGTCCCTGAGTGCATAGTACCTGGACTCGCAGTCACAGGCGAACTTCACAGGGTGCCAAGGAGCCTGGAAACTGGCACTGTGCGCCCATCCTCCCAGTGGAGCAACCTTCCACATGTCCCTGGCACCTGCCCGGGCATCACGCTGCACACTCGGCTGGTATGGGTCATGCAGATTACTGCCTGAACTACTGTTCTAACTGGAGGGGGCTGGATGAGACTCCAAACTTCTCCTCTTACCAGGAAGCAGACAGAACGAGGGCTCTGCTGCTGTGAGAGAGCTTTATAGGAGGCCGGGCCTGCCTGGCAGCTGGGTCCCGGTTTCTTTTTCACCAGCTGTCCCGAGGCTGACAACTTCCAAGTGACAGAGCCACAGCGGCTGCCCTCCCAGGCGGTCACAGGTGCAGGTCCGTTGTCAGGCCAACTGGTGTGTGCATGCGCTGTGCCACTGGGATAGGGTCTGCTAGTCAGGAAGCTGGGGGCACCAGGGCTTAAGGACCCCCGATTTCTAAGTCAGGCAAGATTCAACAATGCCTGAATTATAGCTCCACTTCCTCCCTCAAGACTTGGGCTCTGCTTTTCTCTCCTGCCACAGTTTGCTCTACTGCTCTCCTCCTCCTTCCTTTCTCCACAGCCAGTCATCGTCTCCCTTTACTTTTTTTTATTATTTTTTTAAAAAATATTTTATTAGTGAATCATCATGAGGTACAGTTGCAGACTTACAAACTTTCGTGCTTGCGTTTCAGTTAAACAATGATTGAGCATCCATCCCTCCCCCAGTGTCCATTCTCCACCACCAATGATTCCAGTATCCCTCCCACAACCCCAATCATCATCTCCCTTTAAATCCTGAGCCAGAGAGCTTGGAAGCACAAAGGTGGGCTTGCCTGGGGACTCACGTGCAGGATCACCATCTAGAGACAACCAGCCAAAGGCAGAACTGGCGTTGGAGATGTCTGAGAGCGTGCGGCGTGCTAGTGCTGCTGGGACAGGAGGCTTCGGCACATCGTACCCATCATCCTCGTTTTCCGACTCCTCGGGGCCTGCGCTGGCCTGAGCTGCAGCCAGAGCCCCGTCCCCTAGAAAGAAGGTGTTGGCGTGACTCTAAAACTTCACTCTCGGCCCACTGCGGGAGTGTGGCAGGTTTGTGTCCCCAGGCACACAGAATCTGAAATTTGTGAGTCTGAACACCATGCGAGGCCCATGGCAGAGGAAAACAGAATTAATGTTTCCTCACCATACAGCTTTTGCTTGTGAATATGATAAAAAAAAATGCCCCTTGCCAAGACGAACTACCACAGCTGTCAAAGGTTCCAGTGCCAACTGTATCCCTGATTCAACATTAAAAACATATATTCTATAGTTTATTAATGCACTGGGGCTGGAGTGATAGCACAGCGGTAGGGCGTTTGCCTTGCGCGAAGCCGGCCCAGCCAAGCCGGGTTCGATTCCTCCGCCCCTCTCAGAGAGTCCGGCAAGCTACCGAGAGTATCTCACCCGCTAGGCAAAGCCTGGCAAGCTACCTGTGACATATTCAGTATGCCAACCACAGTAACAACAAGTCTCAAACTGGAGACGTTACTGGGTCCGCTCAAGCCAATCGATGAACAACGGGAGGACTGCGACCATGACCGTAATTAATGCACTAATACCACCTTTATACAATGCAATAAAATTGCATATAAGCCAAGGAACACCCCTGTTGTATTTCATGTGTGAAATGAAATTAAACCCAATAAATAAAGTTAACCAAACAATATCAACTGTTTGATTAAATAGGGGTGATTGAGCCTTGTGGTGTTCATGCCTCCTGACACTCAGGGGTAGCATGAGGGCTACACCAGTCGATGCTGGGAAGGAGGATTAGAAGCACATGGGAAGGAAGTCAGGGCCTCCATTACGCATTGCACACTCGCTCACGGTACAAGTATTCCTGGCCTTCATTCAACATTTTTATCTGTATTTAACCTGAAGATCAGCCAACAAAAAGCTCTGTGTGTGAAGCCTTCTTGACCTTTCACCCTGGTGAGTGAGTTAGCATGGGAATTGGGTACTCGCCACCCACACACAAAAGAATTTCACCAATGCTAAAAAGCAATGGAAATGACGAGAGCAGCGCACACTGCAAGCCCATACATCACAAATGTCTCCAGGCCCTGGAAGGGTGGAAAAAGATAAAAGGAACTGTGTGAACAGGAAATAAGAGGATTTGACTGTCCATGGGTCAAAGATATTTCGGGGGGGGGGAGGAGGGGACAACAAACCTCAAAAAAATCTACTTAGATCAAGCTAATTCACTACCAAACTCTACAGCCTTATTTCTAAGGCACATAACGGTTCCGAAAGCAGCAAAATGGCTACTCACCCAAGGCGCTACTCTCTGGGGCGCCAGGCACAGCCTGGGACTGAATATTATACATGGCTTCGTATGTGCAGCTATCTGCCTGTTGGTCACCATCACCCATGCTGTAACAGGAAAAAAGTGACATCAGAACTCACACTGCAGATCTATTAGCATCTATCTATTCACAACATTCCATACTTGATTCTATCAAGATAATGCATATTCCTCTGTCAAAATGTCGGGTTTTTAAGATTACTGTGATGCTGACGACACCCAAGCAGAACTGTGTGTACCTACATGAGGGTCACACACTCAGGATAGATTCATCTGTGGACTGTGATTTCAGTGGGTCAGGAAGTGAATGGGTCCACTTAATTCTGGAAAAGGGTTGTTGGGACAGTTTTACCGTGAACTCTGGGTGGGCTCCAAAGGCCGTTTCAGCTCTGGCCTCGGCAGCCCCACGGGCCTCGAGGAAGGAGTCATATACTCTGTGTCCTCCTCACTCTCACCCTGCTCCCCAGACGGCAGCTTTGGTACAGGAAGAGGTCTGCAAGAGAAAGAAGTTTTGTTTATTTTGGCCATAGTCACTGGTGCTATTCCTAGTTCAGTGCCTGGGGAAAGCTCCTTGGGGTGCTGGGAAACACAGGCCAGGAACTGACCCAGGCCCATCACCCCTGGTGGTGTCCAGGGGACCATATGTAGAGCTGGGGATAGAACTAGGATCATCCAGCTTCAAGGCAGGTACCTTAACCCCCTGTAGTATCTCTTGGACCCCCATAAAGAATTAAAAAAAAAAAAACAGACCAAAAAATCACCAAAACCCCCAGAGAACTTCCAAGTATGAAATAAGTGACTTTCAAATAGAACACCATTCAAATACGACATGGCAGCAAAGGAGGGCACAACTGCTTCCCAGCCAAGACAGGTGGTAACCAGAATACACTGTGGAACCTTTTCCATTTCCATGGAAATGGAAAAAATGCAGCTATTCTGTGTCAGATGCACTGCATGTACCGGGGCTTTTCCGAAAGGGAGTATACCAACCTTTTCTTCACGGGGCACATGCCAGCCACAGTGTGGCTTTCTTCCATCTGCCAGGAATGTATAGTATAGCAAGTAAGGAGAAATGAAATACCTCGGAGTCATACCAGACCTTTGGACTCCGGTCTTGGGGCATTAGAGCTTGCTGGTTCCTCTGTACATGACTCACCAGGAAAACTGTAACAAAACTGGTCTTGCCACCCACCAATGAAACTGGATGCAAAGATAAAAAGAACCCAATCTCAAGGCGGGAGAGAGAGTACAGTGGGCAGGGTACTTGGATTACACATGGCCAAGCCAGTTTTGATCTGACACTCCATATGGTCCCCTGAGCCACACAAGGAGTGATCCTTGAGTGAGGAGCCAGGAGTAAGCCCTGAGCACCGCTGAGTGGAATCCACTAAGTGTGGCTCTCCCACCACTCAACCAAAACGAGCTCAGTCCGTAGTATAGAAAGCAGCATTTGTGGGAAGTAAGTGGATGAGTGCTTCCGCTACTCCCCACCCTAAACACTCTACAAAGGAACACCCATTTGCATTCAATATTTACTCGCCTAATTGTAAAAACACTAGCAGCTTACTAAAGACAAAGGAAAAAAAAAATACTCAGTTTGTGTGTGTGTGTTGGGCTGGAGCACAGGTATTGTCTGTACTGGTGATAGTACAGCGGGAGGGCGTTTGCTTTGCATGCAGCCAACATGGCCGACCCAAGTGCATCTCCTCCGCCCCTCTTGGAGAGCCAGGCAAGCTACCGAGAATATCTTGCCTGCACAGCAAAGCCTGGCAAGCTACCCATGACGTATTTGATATGCCAAACATAGTAACAACAAAGTCTCACAATGGAGATGTTACTGGGCCCGCTCAAGAAAATCAATGAACAACGGGAGGGCAGTGACTAGTTTTTGTGTACTCAGGACTTCCTGCTGGCTCTGGGCTCAGAGGTAACACTGGCGATACCTGGGTTTGATCCCAGGTCAGCTCAACCCTCTGTATTGTCTCTTCAGTCCTGGAATACAAGATTTTGAACCAGACTACAACATGCCTAAAGTCAACTCTATCTTAGTGTCTTACAGATTCCAGGAAGCAGCTTCCAAGGCCGCCTTCCGGTCTACCCCAGGAGGTCTGTGCTTAACTATCTGCCACACTGAGTTTAAGCTCTACTGCTATGCAATCAACTGAAAGTACCTGATAACCACTCTTAACAGTTTATATGATGACATGCTGAGATGTTCAGTAAGGGCTGAGAAAGATGCCTAAGGAATCAGAAATGTATGCTCTGCTTGTGAGAGGCCCCCTGACATCACATCCCCTGCCCACTATACTATCTCCGGCCCCTGTACTAGATATTTTCATTTTTATTCTTTTCTGGCTTTTGGGGGCATACCTGGTGATGCTCAGGAGTTACTCCTGACTTTGCACCCAGGGATCGCTACTAGCGGGGCTCAGGGTACCATATGGGTGTCAGGGATTGAACCTGAGTTGGCCATGTGCACTTTTTTTGTTTTTGCTTTTTGGGTCACACCCGGCGATGCATGGGTTACTCCTGGCGGTGCTCAGGGGACCATATGGGATGCTGGGAATCGAACCCCGGTCGGTCGCGTGCAAGGCAGACGCCCTACCCGCTGTGCTATTGCTCCAGCCCTGCCATGTGTACTTTTACCCCCATTCTCTGACACCTTAAAGAACTTTTTATTTTATTTTTTGCTTTTTGGGTCACACGCAGTGATGCTCAGGGGTTACTCCTGGGCTCTGCACTCAGGAATTACTCCTGGCAGTGCTCGGGGATCCTATGGGATGCTGGGGACTGAACTCAGGTCAGCCGTGTGCAAGACAAACGCCCTACCCGCTGTACTATCACTCCAGCCCCAGAGCTTTTTAAATGATGGGGAGAAATGCCAAGGATATGATGCCAAGTTTGGGTGGGTGGGGGGAATATAAAACCATTTATTAACTTAATACATATAAACATTTTATATATCTATAGGCACAGCCAAGCATTATCTAAGTCTCTGGATAATACTGCCTATAAGCTATGAAAGCAGGATCAGAATAAAAAGAAAATTGGCATGGGAGGCTGTTGGGCAGCCAAGACTACCAAGGCCAGGAGTCCAGAGAGAGGACTGGGGAGGCAGCTCCAAGGGCTAGAGTGCACGCTTTGTATGTGGGAGCCCCGAATTGGACCTCTGACACCACACGGTCCCCTGAGTATGGCCGGGATTATCCTTGAACACTCTCAGGTGTGTGTCTCCACCAAAATACAAAGAACAGTAGAGAGAGGAGGAGAAACTGAAGTACAGTCTCAGTGAAGGTTCTGAAACTAGGGTCTCAAGTCTGACGAGAACCGGAATTCTGGAATTCTACCCTGGCCAACATGTGTGGAGCCAGAAATCTTGAAAAGGAAGCAGCAGAGAATTAAGTTCAAAATTCTCCCTGCAATTTCCCTGAAAGCTACTGCTAATCCCTGAGCTGTGTATGTCATGGGCAAAAGCGAGCAACTGTACAGACAATACCTAGTGACCAGCGGAACAGATAGTTTTGCTATCTGCAAAATGGCAGATAAAGTTGGAGCTAACAGATACAGTTGTTGGACCACAGAATGATGATAAGCTCCAGGATTGTGAAGTCGAGCCCCTAGGGAGCAGGTGTGTGAAAACCACAGTATCATCATGAGCCTCAACAAAGACCCAAGTCCATGAGCAAGACTGGGGGAGTACTGTAGCACAATGTGTGACCGTGGCAAGCTCCATAGCTAAAACAGTATGTGAACCCCAACCAGGGGGGAGAATAAAATAAGTAAAATCTATGCAATAGCAGAGTGCCACTGGAAGCAATCCCAAGCACAGAACAGGGCGCAGCCCCTGAAAACTGACATGTGTGCCCAGAAATCAAAACCAAGGGTAGGAGAGATGGTAAAAAGGGTTTCGGAACTTGTCTTGCGTGTAGCTCACCTAGTCTGAATTCCTGGTATGGCATACGGTCCCCCAAGCATCACCAGGAGTTATTCCTGACCACAGAGCTAGGAATAAGTCCTGAGTACCTCCAAGAATGACCCCCAAACAAAAATAAAACAAACAAATCTGGTAATGATTCAAATAGAGGGGTTGGAGTGATAGTACAGCGGGGAGGGTGTTTGCCTTGCATGTGGCTGACCCAGATTCGATCTGCAGCATCCCATGTGGTCCCCCAAGTACCGTCAGGAGTAATTTCTGAGTGCAGAGCCAGGAATAACCCCTGAGTATCTCTGGGTGTGACCCAAAAAGGGGTGGGGGGAGGAAGAGGAGAGAAACAAGATTCAGAAAAAATAAAGAACCATTTCAGGAGCTTTGACTCCTTTAGAAGAGGAACATAAGATGTTTATGTTCCCTGGGTGAAGAGGAAAAGAGGGTAAAATTGTGCCTGTTCAAATAAATTGTTACTGAGAGCCCGAAGAATGAATCAGAAAATTCCAGGAACCTGACATAACACCCCAATTTCTGAATGCAAAAATACCTATAGACACATCATTATTAAAACACCAAATTGATAAAAAAATATTAAAGACTGCTAAAGGAAAATAAAAACCCAAGATTTTTTTATCAGTAAGCTGTGCCAACCCCAATGTAGGAAACAGAACTTGAGTAAATTTACCTGGCCGCCAGAGAATAAATGGCATTGGCAGATGCAGAAGGCTTGATTTTGGGGTGCTCACACTCGGGACCTGCTAATGGGCTGCTGTTCATACCCTGGAGAGAAAAGAAGAGTGCTCTTTTTATTCTGGAAAAAGCAGTCACTTCCAGGCTCCAAATTCAAATATAAGGGTTGGGGAAGCAGACACAGTGTCAAGGAGATGCGGTTGTGTTTTGTTTTGTGTTGTCTTAATTCTAGAAAACTGAATAAACTGGCTATCTACACAATGACCATCTCTAGCTTAGATTATCTATACATTTGTGGCTCTCACACGAATTTGAACACTTCTTCCACAAGACACCCCTTCCCTGAGTCACACCCCACCCACCAGCAATTAGGAGATAAGCATTTTCTCTAAGGGTCAGATTTTTCAACTTTGCCCTCCAATTCCATCTTTTGCTCTTAGATTTCCAACCATTTCCTGGCCAGTTCTTCCTTCAATTGCTCATCTCAAATTCACATGCCTAGGGGTCAAAGAGAAAATATAGTGGATAGGGCACCTACCTAGTCAGGTGTTACCCAACACCCCTCAAAAAAAAATTTATGTGCCCAGTTAACCAGGTTCATAACTTCAGTGGTGATGTGCATGATTTCTCACCCTTTTTTTTGTAATCCACTGTTTTCAATTTTATCTAAAGGCTCTTATCTAATCAGGCTACTACATTTTTTGGAGGGGCACACCAAAAACTACTCAGAAGTTACTCCTGGTGGGCTCGGGGGAACCATATGAGATGCCGGGGATTGAACCTGTGTGCAAGGTAAACGCCCTATACGCTGTACTATTGCTCCAGCCACCCTGAATGCTATTTAAAACATCATGAAACTGAACCATCTATAATTATTTGTGAAAGGATTATGTCAAAGTCAGGACTCACCAGGGAGGTATCCAGACTGAAAGTGCTTCCGAGTCTATGCCCATCCGTTCTGGGTTCCATTTGGGAGGGCAATGAAAATGGAAGTGAATGTCGATTGGTTAATTCTCTTCCCGTCCAGGGGTCAGTAGGGTTTGGGGCAACTACTGGTACTTTGGGGATTGGCCGAGGCAACCATGATTCCCCAAGGCGGCTAGAGGGGACAGGTGGCAGTTTGTCCCTGGATGGACAGTCGCCTGGTGTACACGGCAAGGGACGTCTCTGCGGCCGGGTTTCTGTTCCTCCAGAATATGGCCGGTCTGGTGGGGGCGGTGGCGGAAGGTCTCGAAGTGTGGGAGGTATTGGTAAAGGCTTGTCCTTATGAAGGGAGCCAGAAGCAGCCTGCAGAAGCATGATGGAAGCAAAAAAATTAAAACCTACGATCCACAGCAAAAGCCCCAGAAACCCAGAAACAAGTAATACTTTACCTTAGAAGCAGGTCCAAGACCAGAAGCACTTGAAGGAACAGAAATTCTCTGCTGTAGAAGGTCAAGTCGAGGTGGTACTGGGGGAAGGGAAGCTTGTGGGGCGATTGAGAATGGTGAAGGAGGCCTTTCCACCTAGCACAGAGGAATTTCCCAATAGGTCACTCTTGTTTGGGGAATGACTTCTCACCTAAAGCTGCAGAAACAAAGACTAGAGGAACACTAAACAGAACTGACTAATCCTGACAGGCTGGAGCAGCACATGTGGGTTTTCTTCCTGTCGCCATAAGAGGGCGCTCTCTCACAGAACTAGGGGGCAAGCTGCAACTGAAGAGGCCTTGCTACAAAAAGCTTCAAAAGAGCTACCACAGAAAAGCTTCCCCCAGAAGCTACCAAAAATTACTAAATTTTCTACCTCCTTATATTTCAGAAGGAAAAACTGTTTTATGACTAAAAATACAGTTTCATATAAAACGGGCAGATGTTAACCTCCCAACAAACTAACAGGGAAAAAGGGTAAACTCTGTGGCTTATTATGAAGAAAAAAAAGGGGAGAAAAGAAATTTCTAAAAGGAAAATGATCAACAATAAGCTAAAACGTAGTACTGTACGTGTGTGTTTTTTTTTTTAAGAAATTGGTGATTTCAAGTCAATAAATAAACAGAATCACTAATCACTATTTTCTGTCATCTGTGTTCCCAATTAAAGGAGGTATACACATGCGGACTTTTCCAATGCCCCCAGACTTCACTGAGGGATGCTTACAAGTTTGTGGTGGGAATGAGAGAATTCATACAAAAGGGTACTTTGTGCTTTTATCCCCCACCCCAAGCACTCTAAAGGGAGGACAGCAAAGCTGTAAGCACTTAAGCACAGGGGCAGAAAAAATCTGTCTCAGTCTGTCATCAATGCTGGGTGTGAGTGAGGGAGAGCAAAGAAAAATCCAAACCATTAGCTATTTTGCTTTCACTCATGTTTAAGAAAAAGAGCAATGGGAACAGGAAGATAGAAAAGGGGATAGGGCAAGGCACTTGACCCTGGTCACATCCCTGGCACTGCAAGCTCCCTAAGCATCTCTGGGTGCAGTCCTGGAGGTCCCAAATACTGGCAGTCGAAAGCCCTTGCAGCACTGCATGTTTGGGCCTCACACTGACCCACTAGCCAGTTAGCTGAGATTCACTGGCAGGCACCCTGGGCATTCTGAGCACTGCTTGTGAGAACCAGTATGCCTGCCCAATTTAGGTGGGGGAGGGGAATCACAGTGGGTAAGGTGCTTGTCTTGTATATAGTCAACCTGGGTTCGATCCCTGAAGCCCCATATGGTTCCCTGAGCATCGTCAGGAGTGATTCCTGAGTGCAGAGCCAGAAGCAACCTCCACGCATTGCTGGGTATGGCCCAAAGGCCAAAACCAAAAACAGAACAAAAAAACGACCTCCCCAAGGCCCTCATTTTTCTGTCTGGCTTTTTCAAGTTTTCTCATTTCATCTCAACTGTATTTCCTATCACTTCCTGTTCTGAAATTCCTATCTCTTTGCTTTTGCTGAGAAGCCCCTCTGCCTCCTCTGACACCTCCCATCTCCATCTCTGCCATCCCTGAAGAACCAGGACAGAGCATATCATAGCACCCCATACATGGCCCAGCAGCATGATTGGCCCCTACAATTTTTTTTCTCCTAACACAAAACAAGGTTTCAGGAGAGGAGGGAAATGCAAGTGAAGAAATTGTCAAAGAATAATGTAGCAACATTTCAAAGACCTAAACATTCATAAAGGGTTAGCTATCTGGCTAACCCAATGAACGAAAAGAAATCCATAATGGCTTAACCTAAAAATCCTTAAGTTCAGGGGGTATGGGAAGAAGGATAAGAAAAATATTTTCAAAACCTTCAGGGAGGAAGGCAATGGGAGAGCTCAAAGGGTTGGAGTATATGCCCAGCAATGCATGGCCTGGAGAGACTACTGTGTATGGCCCTGGCAGACCCCACCATTGCTGGCACTGCTTGGGAGGAACCCCCCCCCCCCAAAAAAAAGACTGGGCATGCTGGATAGTATAGCATACAGCAAGCAGGGCGCTTGCCTTACACGCAGCCCATCTGGGGTCAATCCATGGCATTCTATATGTTGCCCTGAGCACTACTGGGTATGGCCCTAAAAGAATAAATCAGACTAGGATACTGGAACAGGTGACATCAAAAAGCAAAAATACACCAGAGATTACAAGTAGGTAAAGCAATAACATATTAAATTTTAATTTTTGTTGTTTTTTAGGCCATATGTGGTGATGTGGATTGGATCTGGGTCAGCCCATGTAAGGCAAGTGCCCTACCTGCTGTACTAGCAATCTGGCCCAGAGCTGAATTCTTTTCTTCTTCTTTTTTTCTTTTTGGGTCATACCTGGTGTTGCACAGGGGTTACTCCTAGCTCTGCACTCAGGAACTGCTCCTGGTGCTCTGGGGACCATATAGGATGCTGGAAATCGAACCTGGGTCAGCCACATGCAAGGCAAACGCCCTACCCACTGTGCTATCACTCCAGCCCCAGAGCTGAATTCTTTTCAAGCTAGAACTCTACTCTAGTCAGTCATGGTGCTGGGAGAACAGACAATAACAGCCTGAAATATGGCAGTGAGAACAGAGAAGGAGAAAGGTCATTGAGAAAATAGAACTCATTCTTAGGGTTAGGTGAGTATAGGATCATGAGTTAAAAAGAACAAAATGAGAGCTGGAGTTGGGGATCGACAGCTGAGCACTTGCCTTGTGGGCATGAGTCGAGGTTTTATCCCCCAGCCAGGCGCCCAGCACTCTGGCAGTGAGTGTGCCCACTGTTACCCTTCCTCACAACATGGCTGCTGTTAAGTGCTCCTGAGCTTTAGAACATTGCAACTAGCGGGGTTCACCACTACCTTAAATTGCAGCCTCACCTTGGCACCAGCTAACTCTTTCATCATGAAGAGAGAATCATCGGCACGTTCATCATCGTCGTCATCATAATTAGGGGACGGGGCTCCTTCTGCTCCCTGCCTCAACAGGCTGCCACTTCCTCTAGGATCAAATGGATCGACCACAATGGGTTCAGTACCTTTAATTTCACATCGGCAGAAAGGACAGCCCTGGCCTTCAGACTCCTGCACAGGAAACAGGAGAAGGTAACAGAGACAGCTGAAAGGATTCCAATGGGCATTCACCAGGACATGCATTTCCTAGAGACGATAATCCACAATGGAAAACTTATCCCCACAAAGCCAGAGATCCCTGACCTCTGTAAAGGATGCAAACACTCCCCATCTTCCCCCAGAAGATTACTCGGTAGAGAAAATGCAAAGTGAGGAGCCGTACCTGCCAGGACGTCAGACAGGACGTGCACATGAGATGTCCACAGGGCTCGATCTTGACATCCTTATCATTCTCGGCGCAGATTTTACACAGCTGGAATGTGGAACCCATCTCACAGTATAATTCATATTGTTCCTTTGATTAAAAAAAAAAGAGAGAGAGCCTGTTCAGCCGATTGCAGATATACAGGGAATGAACAACTATACCCTTAAGTATTAAAATCTGGAAAATTCTGCTGGTATAAAAGCATCAAAATACAGATCAATGTTCCCCTACTGAAGCAAAACATCACCAGCCTAGTACCAATTTTAAGGTACACCCAAAAATTCACTAGTCAAGTCAATGTTTCAAACTTAAGCATTCCAGTCATGTAATAGAAGCCTATTGTAGGTCTAACTAATGGGAGGATTATAAAGTATACAAAACTCACCTGTGTCACTTTGATGTGGTCTTGGGGAGTTGGTTCACATAAGCCTGTCAGATCCGGATTCTGATTCCGGCCATCAGGAAACAAATAGCTGTACAAAAAGTAACCAACCGTGGAGTTTTTATGAAGCTAACACTGGCAAACGATAGCTAGGAATTCCCTTATTCTGAAAGGGCATCTTTGGGCCCTATCGATGGCTCGTGGCAAAAAAACCCCACGTGCTTTGCGAGCATGAGATCGAGAGTTGGGTCCCTGTGCTCCGCACATGCATGGTGGCCCTGCCGTCCACCCCAGCACCACAACAGGGTGTGCTCTCCATGGCACAACACCACAGTAAACTCTGTGAGCTCTGTGGACAGGACTGCAACCCCAGTCAATCCCACAACTGAATGTGTGAGCACCACAACCAGGTAAGTGGCGCTCCTGGTCACTGTAATGAAAGCAATAAGGGGAAGAGATGGGGGAATCATTCATACATGCATAAGAATTATAAGGAAAGAAAAGGGCCATTCTGCATTAAAAAAAAAATCTTAAGATGGTACTTTCAAACTCTGACACTCTTTCTCCAGGGTACAATACCACAGGCTCTTTTATATGGGGAGGCTGGGGTGGAGGAGTTCTGGGACCACACCTGGCTGTGCTCAGGGATCACTCCTGAAGGGGCTGGGGGACCATATGCAGTACTGTGGATCAAACCTGGGTGAATATCCACAGGCTCTGTCTTTAAAGTGCAGGGCTCACAAACCTCTTCTGTAAAAAGGCAGCCATGTCAGCTTTTACCAGTGCCATAATTCTAGTGTTATATATTCTTATATGGTGATATTTGTTTTAACAATATTTAAAAACAAAAAACACAACAACCTCTGATGAGCCTTACCCAAGCAGCTAATATTAGGTCTGAATTAATTTTTTGGTATCCCCTATTTAATAACATTGGGACTAGAGAGTATAGTGGGTAGGGCACTTGCCTTGCACATGACTGACCTGGGTTCAATTCCCAGCACCTCAAATGATATGGTTCCTGGAGCCCCATCAGAAATGATCACCTGAGTGCAAAGCCAGGAGTAATCCTTGAGCACTGCTGGGTGGCCACCCTCCGAAGGAAGCTCACATCTATCATCTCCACTCTGATCCCTTTGGTCTTGTGTGGTGCTCAAGCACCAGCAGGGCACACACAGTGCTGCCAGAGGGACAGCCATGAGGCGTCTGACTGATGTAGTGCTCCCTCATGTGAGGCACATCACTGGCCCTCACCTCTCTATTCTACCCTATCAATGACCAGAAAGTATAAATTATTGTTTGGCTTTAGGCCACACCCGCCAGTGCCTGAACTCCATGCTGTCAGAGTCAACCTGAACCTGGGTCTGCCATCTGTAAAGTCTGTGCTCAGCCCATTGAGCAATCTTTCTCTGGCCCACAAAGTTTAAACTCTAGTAACTTAACATGCATTTGCTTTTTGACCAAAGGCCTGAAATATTCTTGTTTACAACCCAAATACTAATAGATGCCAATTAAAAAAGAAAGTAACAGGAAACAAGTCAGCTAACACAGGCCTAAAAAACAGCTGGAGCACATACTTGAGCAACTCCTTAGCTCATAGTCCAGAGTGCCCTAAGTGATGTGTTCACCCACACCCCAAAAAAGGGCTAGAGTGAAAGCTTTGCTTGTGAGACCTCTGAGATCCAGAAGGTCCCCAAAGATCCTCCCACCAAGCACAGAAAGGTGTGATCCAAACACCAAACCATAAAAAAAATAGACATACAATGTAAAAATACAAAGTTAACACCTCTCCCCCACCCTCCTTTGTTGTTGCAGGACCACTCACTAGCTCACTCTCTGGATTGTGGCGTTCACACATTTAGTCACAGTGCTCATTGGAGACTGGTGCTGGGTGTCACACGTGAGTCGTCACACAAGTCCTCCTCGTACCTCTGAGCTTTCCCAGGGCCCAGAAGTAGTTGTTTTTTTTTTTTTTTTTTTGCTTTTCGGGTCACATCTGGCGATGCTCAGGGGTTACTCCTGGCTTTGCACTCAGGAATGACTCCTGGCAGTGCTCAGGGAACCATATGGGATGCTGGGAATCGAACCTGGGTCGGCTGCATGCAAGGCAAACACCCTACCCGCTGTGCTATCACTCCAGCCCCCAGAAGCAGTTTTTGATACCGAATTAACTGGTATTTTTAGTACTTATCAACTGATAATCAGTTTGAATTCTCAAAGGAAGTGTGACTCAAAGGAACTTAGTCATACATGTTAACGAAGATTATTAAATTAGACCCTGTGAAATTTTGCTGAGCCCCCAGGAGGTCAGGCTGAAGGTCGTGTCTAACTCTTCAATGCTGGTGAACTAAAGCCCAGCTCATTGGTATCTCTATCACTTTTAAATTTAACACAGACTTAAAAGCAGTTAACATTTGGAAAAGTTTACTGCTTACGTAGTAACTAAAGAAGACAGAACTAATGACCAAGTTTTACAACCCACAGTTCCTGGCTGATGGCAAACCACAGGTACTCACAAGCCTTCCCTGAAGCCGTCGATCAGGGCTTGGAAGAGAGGTTTATTGTGAGGAATTGTTTGGAGGATGTTTCCGTCAGCTGTGACATACCCAATAGCCCACTGACCCAGACGAGTACAGCTCAGCCGGAAAATGTAACTGAGAACAGAGATAAATGGAATCTTTAATAGATATGCTCACACTGGGATGGATGGCAAGACAGACAAGAATCAAAAGAACCGTCAATAATAGATTCTTTAGGGACTAGAGACCAAAAGCAAAGGACATACAAGTTTAATAAGCATTTATCAGGGGGTGGGAGATTGGTTAATGGGCTGGAGCACATGCTTGCATACTGACTCCCAGACTCCATCCTCCAGAAATAACAAAATAGGGGTGAGTATTTATCAAATCACAGGATCTGAATAGTCAATTTCCTTAATAAAATACATCAATCCAATTGCAGAAACACAGCCAGGAAGAAACCAATGAAAGATCACATAGCCTCTGTTGTAACAAAGGTCCTAAGATCCTAAAATTCAGGCAAACAAACCTGTTTCGCTTGCTGGTACCGACCTGCCAGGCTTGTGGATGAATTTCTGAAGACGAGCTTTTACTTCATCATATGTCAGGAAAGCCATGTAGCCAGGATGAGTTACAGCAAGACTGTTCCAGTTCCTGAGCAAAGAGGACCAGGGCTAAGGAAACAAGAGATCAGTCAGATGGTAGGCTCTCATGCAGTCATACTCAGAGCAAGGAAGAGAAGGAAAAATCATGTCGATTCTCAAATTACTATTACAGTGCTCTGATTATACCTTGAAATGTCAAGAAAAGACAAAAAACATACTTGGGAGACTAGCACTCTGAAAGGTTAAGAACAGAACAGAGGCTAGCGCAATAGTAGAGTGAGAGGGTAGGGAAGTATATAGGTATATAGTTAAGAATTTCAACAGAATAGGAAGTAAGTTGGAGATATATATACACATAAATGCCCAATAACAAATAACTATCCATATCCACTACTGGATATCCTACCACCATGAAACAAAAGAATAATATTTATTAACAAATAAATAAGGGCAACGGGCATGTTGTACTCTTTGGTAGATGCTCTCAAGTTGCCCTTAGGAGGCCCAGGGCTCTGTGGACCTGCAGGGCTGCTGCTTGGGTCCTTCCACACAGTGCTAAGCTATAGCGCTGAGGGCCAGCAGGGCCACATCTGCTGGGGGGACCTGATTCAGCGACCATGCATGCAAAGCTTGTGCTCCAGCCTTTTTATGGGATTTCCCTGGTTCCCAGTAATTATATTCATATTCTATTTTACTGTAATAGTATACAGATGTACATTATAAAATGTTAAGACTGTTTTCTGCTTACACTATCTCATCAAGAAAAAAATTTTTTTTCTCCCTGTTTTATGGTACTAGGACTTCAGACATGCAAGGCAAATACTCTACCATGGAGTCACATCCCTCGCCTGAAAAAATAACTTTTTTTTGGGGGGGGGGCAGGTGTTTTTGGGGGTTACACCCAGCGATGCTCAGGAGTTACTACTGGCTGTGCACTTAGGAATTACACCTGGTGGTGCTTGAGGGACCAATGGAATGCCAGGGATGGAACCTAGGTTGGCCACGTGTAAGGCAAACACCTTATCCACTGTACTATTGCTCTGACCCTGGAAAAAATATTTTAAGGGGTAGGAGTGGTGTTTTTTGGACAATGCCCAACAGCGCTCAGGGGCTACTCCTGACAGAGATTAGGGAATTATACATGGTGCTAGGGATCAAACTGGGATCAGCCTCAGACAAAGCAAATTCCTTACACTGAACTATTAATTCCCCAAAATACACTTTTAGAATAGGCAAAATCCTAAATGTTATTCTTCAAAATGCTTTCGCTTCAGAAAAGAAGCAATAACTAATCTGCCCAACTTTTTAGCATCTTACCTGAAACAGTCGTGTAAAGATGTCAAATTCAAAAACTGAAATATAATCATTGCAGGTCAGATCAATCGTGGACTTCAGAGCCATGGCCTCCAGTCCAGAACTGATGGGATGGACTTCATGAAGAGCTTGTCGGAAACTCTTCCAGGGGACTATTGTCCTGTTTGGGGTGCGGGGGCGGGGGGACAGAAAGAACAGAGTGAGATGACAGGTAATTCTGGGCACTACTATAAGCAAGGAAGAGAAAGAGTCTTACAGTGAAAGCAGTATCAATTTCAATTCTTTTAAAGAAGCTGAGCTCTGTTTTGTTTTGTTTTTCAGGCCACACCCGGTGATGCACAGGGGTTACTCCTGGCTCATACACTCAGGAATTACTCCTGGTGGTGCTCAGGGGACCATATGGATGCTGGGAATTCCCAGGTCGGCCACATGTAAGGCAAACGCCCTACCCACTGTGCTATTGCTCCAGCCCCAAGATCTATTTTGAACTGACAACAGAAAGGGAATAAATGACCTCTTTTTAAATTTTTCTAAGGAGTAAATTAGTAACAGAAGCCCTTTTCCACTAGTCTAGGGCAGAATGTCACAATGAACCCCCTCTCATCTCTGTTCAAACATTTCTCCTATTAGAGAAGCATAGAAAGAAAAATGAGATTATTCTTTTTAAGTGCAATTTGTGGCTAGATATTTACTAACTGAAAGCTTGTGTTTCAACTCACTTTATGTTTTGTATTGTTCTGTTTTAGGACCACATTGGATGGTGCTCAGAGTATACTTGCTCAGGGAACTTATGCAGTCTAAGGATTAAAAATGGGTTGGATACATGCCAGACAAGCAACTTAGTCAATGTATTATCTCTCCGGCCCCTAAACTCATTTTAAAGCTGCAGGGAAAGGGGTGGAAGAGATGATGGTACAGAGGGTAGGGCTCTTGCCTTGCACACTCTTGGCCCAGATTCAATCCTGGGCACCCCATATGGTTCTCTCAATTCTGCCAGGCATGATCCCTGAGCAGGAATAACCCCCTCTCCCCCAGAAAGCTGGGTGTGGCCCAATGAGTGAGCACAGCTTTCAACTGAATTGATAAGGATCTTTTTAAAATGATAATCTTGGGGCCACAACAAAGTCTCCAATGGAGATGTTACTGGGCCCGCTCAAGCAAATCTTGGGGCCAGAGAGAGCACAGCAGCTAAGGCACTTGCCTTGTGTGAAGTCAACCTAGGTTCAATCCTCAGCACTACATATGTTTCATTAAATCCCACCAGGCAGGACCCCTGAGCAAAGAGCGAAGAGTAAGCAAACAGCATGACTAGGTGTGGCGCAAAAAAAATGAACACTGAACTACCCAGCTTGGGTTGGCTGAGTGCTATTGGGAATGACCCTCCAGCTCTCTGAGCAGGCTCTCTGGGAGACTCTACATAATGCCTGAAAGTGTCAATATTTGAGCCAGGAAGTACACAAAAGATTATTTTTTGTTTTCCCATGTTTTAAATATTTTATTGATAAAAGAATTAAACAAAAACTTTGCCAGAGCAAACCTTTAATTCTTTTCTTTCCCCCCCTTTTTTGCTTTTTTTGGGTCACACCCGGCAATGCACAGGGGTTACTCCTGGCTCTGCACTCAGGAATTACTCCTGGCGGTGCTCATAGGACCATATGGGGCGCTGGGAATTGAACCCAGGTTGGCGACGTCAAGGCAAATGCCCTACCCGCTGTGCTATTGCTCCAGCCCCAAACGCTTTAATTCTTTACAGTTTAAATTCATCATTTTGAGACTTACTTTTCACCAAAAGCTTTCCGCCAAAATTCTGCAGCATCTGCTTTAGTAATTCGAAATGTGTCTCCTTGGAAGAGACCACTGGGAAAGATTCCTTTCAGTTCTGCCAGCATGTGGCTGAAGATGAGGGACAGCTTGGTTAGGTTTCTCCTGCAAAAGATCAGAAGGGCAATAATTATAGAATTACACATAATTTTTGCTTTATAGACAGTGAATTCACCATACCAGGCATGTGATTAACATAGTACATATATAAGGGTTGAAGAGGTGACACAAAGGTAGTTGCCATATACATGGCCCATCTGGGTTAGATCCCTGGCATCATATACGGTCCCACAACCACAACCAGGAGTAATCCTGAGCACAGAGCCAGAAGTAGACCCTGGGCATCACTGAATGTCTCAAAAATCTCTTCCCCAAAAGAGTATTTATAAATAACCTTTATTATTTGTATACAGTCTGGGGGGGCACACCCAGTGGTACTTAAGGGATTACTTCTGGCTCTGTGCTCAGGGATCATTCCTTGCAGGACTAAGGGAACCATATGTGACGTTGGGGACCAAACCAGGGTTGGCCATGTGCAAAACAAGCGGTCTACCCATTGAACTCCAACCATTTTTATGATCAATTATTCAAGATATAGAACACTCCGGGGTAATTAATGAGAGGAAGGAAAAAGCAGTTAAGGATATTAAACAACCTGTTCAGAGAGGAGCTTCAGAAACTGTTTTTGCTCTAACATCATGCCAAAGATACAGAGCTAGGTAACCACCAAGCACTGGGAATAAACCGCCCCCCCACCCCCGCACCAAGCACTGATAAAAGGAATATGTTTGCATTCACTACCGTCTATCACTCCCTCTATTAAACCATTTCTTGTAAAAAGAAAATCAGAGAAAATTAGGGAGATGGCTCAAAGGGAATGAGTGTAGGTTTTGCATGCAGGGTTCCATCCCTAGAACCATATGGTCCCTAAGCACTCCCAAGCACTGAGCTACGGGATCGCCTGAGCACCTCAAGATGAGGCCCCAAAACAAAACAAAACCAAATTAAGAGGAAGTTTTGTCAGTAGTACAGCTCTTGATCTTGACTGATCCTGATAACAGCAATAAGTCAACATTAATTTATAAGTTTACAATGACACATCAGAGAACTCAACAATTAAGTATAAGACAACTTATAAGATGCTATAATCACTCACAAAAGGAAATGTTAGAAAAGCAAACTACATCTCCTGCTTTGCATAAATTTCTTCAAATTCTAAAAATTATCATAGAGAAGCCAGAGTTGGCGCACAGATTATGTTCAAGGAAAGCATGCTCTATGCAGGAGGTCCATGCACCACTTCGGGGAACCCAGGAACAAAAAATGGTCATATAATTCAAATCACAGAAATTTTCAGTGAAATGATTATCTAATATGCAGACCTAATAAATATAATCTTTGTCAAAGATTTGTCCTCTTCCTTTACAAAAATGAAATGCTGATATCCAAACCATGTAAAATTGCTTACATACATGCATTTGCTACGGTTAATGGTAGCAACTGAGATGCCATACAGTACCAATGCACTCAATAGGTGATGTCTTTACTTTTAGATGTGCATTTGCTTTCAGGAGCTGTTTCAGGCCCTGAACCCAAAGAGGACCTCTGTCAGTGCTTAAGGGATCATATTGTGGTGCTGGGATTCGAATTAGGGCCAGCAGGACAAAGACCTTAATACCTATACTATTTCTCTGGCTCTAGGTGTGTGCTTTAATCAGATTATCTTATTTTTTTTAGGGTGCTGGAAATGAACCCAATGCTCAGACATACTCCCATTTCTACTACTGAGCAACATCCCAAATGTTAACTTTAATGGTATCATTGGACAGAACAGGCTGTAGACAGTGTTACATAATCTAAGTCACCTACTAAATGGGGCTGGAGCGATAGCACCGTGGGGAGGGCATTTGCCTTGTATGCGGCTGACCTGGGTTCGATTCCCAGTATCCCACATATGGTCCCCCAAGCACCGCCAGGGGTAATTCCTGAGTGCAGAGCCAGGAGTAACCCCTGTGCATTGCCAGGTGTGACCCAAAAAGAAAAAAAATTATCTACTAATTACACTTGTTTATTCTCAGTTTTCTTAATAATTAGTATTCATGTATTCAAGTCTACTCTTTCATGCCCCATGTTGGGCACCAAAAAAAAAAAAGTCTATTCTTGTCATACAAGTAACTTATAAAATGTCAAGTCCATTTATGATCAGATCGAGGGCCAGGAAGATAACTTATAGGGCTACTGTACAAACTTTGCACATAGGCAGCCTGGGTTCATTCCCTACTACCTAGTATATGGTAATGTATTTGGGAATAGCCCTTGAGCACCACTGAACATGGTCCCCAAACAAAGATTCATGATCAAATTTTAATTTGATCCTCTAAAAATCATTCTTTAATAGAGACAAAACTCTTTTTTCTGGGGCTGGAGTGATAGCACAGCGGGTAGGGCATTTGCCTTGCAAGTGGCCAACATGGGTTTGATTTCCAGCATCCCATATGGTCCCCTGAGCTCTGCCAGGAATAATTCCTGAGTGCAGAGACAGGAGTAAACCCTGTGCATTGTCAGGTGTGACCCAACAAGCAAAAAAAAAAAAAAAAAAAAAAACCTTTCTTTTCTGTTCCTTTAAGTGTAGAAATCGTTCTCCATCTAGTTTATTATTGGTTTTCTAAAAGCACCGACAAAAGTAAAAAATTTAAACATTCTTCGGGTCAGAGAGATAGTACAGGGATTAAGGTACTTGCCTTGCATGAGGCCGACCTGAGTTTGACCCGACCCCAGCTCAATGCCCAGTATTGCCAGGAGTGAGCCCCATGCACAGAAAAGGGTAAGCCCTGAGGATCACTGGGTGAGGTCCCCAAATGCCACCCACCTGCAAAAAAAATGAACATTTCTTCGAGTCAACCTAAAATAGCATGAGTGAGATCAAACAAATAGAGGCATTAAGCAACCCCACTTCTTTATTCCTCCTCCTGCTTTTTCAAAGCCTGCATTTATTGCTGGTTAGCAGAAGAAACAAAAAAACAGTAAAGAACAAGAATCTACCACAGCGAAATTGTGAGGGTGATCACCAGACAGAAAATGTGCCACATACAGATACTTGCAAATGACCTTACCCTCCAGTTTTCAACAATCATCAGAGTGCTCAGAAGCCTGACCCTCCAGAACACGGACCATTCTGCCAGTCACTTCCAAACAAAGGTGAGAGTCCATGGGTCCCTTGAGTCTAAACTGTTGAGATCTACTGTTTGAAGACTATGTTCAAAAGCATAACAGAATATAGGACCCTTACAGAAGAAAAGAGAGGACACTCCAGAGGTTACTGAGCACTTTCTCAAAGAAGCAGCTTTGAATCTTAACTTCTTCACCACTGCCTGTTTTCTCCCACACTGTCCTCTCTTGGTCCTCTGACTTGCTTTGCTTCTTTTAGCTGTTTTTCTCACTATTTTGAGAGAGCTACTTCCCAAGAATTTGTTCTCTCTTTTCTTTTTTCTTTTTCTCTGCTTATCTTCCTTACTCTTCCTTTGCAACCTAAGGCTTCAAAATCTACTTGTAGGCTGGGGAGACAGCTCAAAGCTCATGTTTTGCATGCTGAAGTCCCAGGTTTGATCCCTGAATGATATAGTGTCCTAAGTAAGCAAGGGGCACTGTGACCAGAGTAGCCCTTGAGCAACACTGGGTGTGCCCCCCCAAACCCAAACAAACAAACCCTACACTGCATAAGATTCCTACCATTTTAGACCTTTCACTGCCCACACATTTCTCCATTCAAAGCCACATGCTCAATACTGAACCCACTTCCTTTCCATATGTGCTTTCTTCGTGTTCCCTATTTCTGGAATTAATGGCATCACCATCCTACTTTCTACATGTTCAAAATTTCAGACTAGCTCTGGCTTTTTCCCTTTTGATGATTCTCCACATCTTACAGATCTCCATATCTTACATTAACTTGGGTTTCCTTTGTCTTTTTTTTGGTGTATCTTATTTTGAGTTTTTTGGTTTTTTTCAACTATACCTGGTAGTACTCAGGACCTAGGACCTGACTCTGTGTTCAGGGATTGCTTATAGTGGCCCTGGGAATAAAACTCCTGTCAGTCACATGCAAGGCAAGAACTCTATCTACTATACTATCTCTTGCCCCCATGCCAAGATTTTGTAGTAGATTTTGCTTTGAAGCCACACTTGGCAGTGCTCGGGGTTCCTCCCAGTGGTGCCTGGGGAACCGTGCAATGCTGAGGATTAAACCTGGGCCTCCTGCACACAAAGCATGTGCACCAGCCCATTGAGACATCTCTCTAGCCCCTAATCTTATCTTTGAATTATATTCTTTTTTTCCTTTTTGGGTCACACCCAGAGATGCACACTCAGGGGTTGCTCCTGGCGATCCTAAGGAGACCTTATGGGATGCTGGGAATCAAACCCGGGTCAGTCACGTGCAAGGCAAACACCCTACCCACTGTGCTATCTCTCCAGCTCCATTTGAATTATATTCTTATTCTAATAAAAACTCATTTGCCTACCTACTCTTTAACTCAAAGTTCACGTTTCAGTATCCTCCTATATTAATTTAATCAGGGGCCAGAGAAATAATACAGTGGGTAAATACATATCTTGCATGTGGCCAACCTGGATTAGATCCTTGGGTCTGCATATAGCCCCTCAGCCTCACTAGGAGTGATCTATCTGCACAGAGCCAAGACTCAGCCCTGAGCCTGCAGTGTGGTCCAAAACAAAACTAAATAAATAAATAAATGTACTCATACTGCATATAAATAATTGATTTTAAGGAGGGAAAATGCCATGCTACAGTGCCAATAGGACAAAGACACCCTCAGATTTTTCACTGTCCTGGACAGTGAAATTGCTTTTTGTAACTGTTTAATTCTTCACTTACATATTGCAGTCAACCTGCAATATTACAGATTATAAAAAATTTACTATGTTTTTTTTTTCCAGTGGGAAGGAGTTTTAGACCACACCCGGCGATGCTCAGGGGTCACTCTTGGCTCTGCACTCAGAAATTACTCCTGTGGTACAGGGGGGACCATATGGGATGCTACATACCTACCCACTGTATTATCTCTCCATCCATTATTACACCTTTT